CCCCCCCCCAGGGCGCGCCACCGCCGCGCGGTTTCTGCCCTCTGATGACGCGGTCGCCGCGCCGCCTGGGGCGCGCTAACTGCCCTCCCTACTTCCGTCTTCTTCGCGGAGTCTTCCCTCCGCGGGCGCCGCCGCCTGCACAGGTTGCCGATTATCGCGCTCGTCAACGTTACGAGCTGCGCGACACCTTGTTTATGGAGGTCACGCGGCTCGGGAACGAGTGAGAAGAGCGCGCCGCTGGCGCGTTTCATCTTCAGGCGGACGATTATACTTTTATTACTTCCCCCCTTCACGTTTTCATTTCTACTTTTCTCGCGGAGGGGGGAAGATGTAATATCCTTAGGGCATGGCTTAACGTGCTCAAATCATGAACTGGGGCTGTGTGTATATTTTGTTTCTGTGGGAATACAGAACAAAGGAAGGAAGGAATGCACTGTCTTGTGTAGGAGGAATAAATATATAAGTACTGAAGAAGCTCGACGTAAATGAAGAAAAGAAAGGATGCCACTTGGTGACAATAGAATTATATTGAGAATGAATAACTTTGTTCAAAGTACAAGTTGGGATATGACTAGCATGAAAAGAACTCTAATAGTTTGTGATACGATATCCAAGTAGTGCATGTTTTACGTCGGAAGATGGCGGTGGCCGTCTCACGCTGTATGGTGAGATCTGCCGCTGACCTACAGTCGGCTAACGGGGTTTTCCTCAACCAGATATCTCCTACCAGCGGGGCACCGCCTCAGCCGAGACTAACTCTAATCCCTCGACCGCTCTCCAGGTTTGGTAGTGTAGTACATGTTTGTGAAATTGTATGTGTAAGGGGTGAGGATAGAACAAGGAAGAGGAAGGAAAGACAGCGTGCGATCTGTGGCCCGTTTGTTAGTGTACTGCTCCGGCATTCGCCCGGAGAAACCACGGAAAACTACCGATCAGAACGGTAGGCCGCAAGAACTCTCCTCCAGACTGCGACTGAATACGACCTAGCCAGTGTCGAAAATCTTGCCGCCACCCGAACAGACCAGACCCGAGGGATATTGCATGATGCATGACGGCCCAACTAGCCACAACACACAAGTAAAGACCCATGCCTAAGCAGGAGACGAACCCTCGACCCGCCGAACCGAGTTCTCTTCTTCACTCGGGGCTTGGCGGTCTCCGCTCAAAACAATAGAGGTAGACGTCCGTGAGAGGTGCTTGTGTAGCGGGTGGGAGGACAGGCGAAGGGGAGGTGAGGGGGTGGCGCACTCACCCTGTAGCCCGACGACTTGAAGTGGCAGCCGCGCTTGGTGAGCGTGGACTTCATGCGCACGCAGAAGGCGCGCTCCAGCCCTTTGTACGAGGAGTTGCTGCTGACCGTCATGAGGGTGGCCACTGCAACAGGGAGACAAGGCGCTGCCGGAGCTGCTCCCGCTCCGGGAAGCCGCGCTTTCTCGGAACGCCGAGCCCCCGCGCGCGCCCGTAGCCACAAAGCGAACAACACGCCTCGCGCGCCGCCGCCGCCGAGTCGACGCGGTGCGTAAAACTTAGGCGGCGCGCGGCCGGCATGCCAATGTCTTCATAACACTCTCCCGCGGCCGCCGCGCCGTCGGGGCGGGGC